TATGAAGGGAAGTTCCATATCCAAACCAAGGTATAGGAGAGTAGTAGCACAAGTAGGCAGAGATAGTTAGTTTCATTTGCGGGTAACGAAAGAAGGAAATCTTCTAATAGATTACCCATGGGCCATGAGTTTCATGGTTCTATAGGAAAGGTTGGTATTTCCTCCCAAGCATCTGATAGGATTTAGGGATTTGCCAAACTCCCAGGTATGGCTTAGATATCGTGCCTCCGAGGATGTAGGATTTATCCTCACAGTAGAGGATTAATTAGAAATTCAGTAGGTCGCGTAGATTGCCATAGAGAGCGTCGAATACTCAAGACATACACTAGACTTATGAATTTGATTTCTACCATAGTAAAGGATTTAGTTAACCCGAGCCAAAGGATTATAGCAGTAGGATCAACGTCAAGAAATAAAGTATTTTCGTAAGTATGATTAGAGACCCATAGGAGGATACCATTTAAAAAGGATTGTGCTCATTAAGGATATGGTGATACTTTAGTGTAACTTTAGGCATCAAGATACACTATGTGTTTAGTTTAGTTATCCCTTTAGTCGATAAGCGTAAGAATTAATAGAGAACTAGGATTGAATCTCAACGTTCATAGGTATACATAGAACGGCAGTTAGACTTTAACACCCATACAATGTAGATTAAGAACCTCTAAATCAATTGTAGGCACAAAAGATCAAAAAGTAGAACCTTATTATGAGTCTGTCGCCAATATTAGAGTACTAGTTCCAGTATTGTCAAGCCAATAAACCCGTGACAGTAGTTTTAGTTAAAATTCAGGATGTTGGAACACCTGAACTAGGTTGAAATATCGTTTGTAATCAAGATTCATGTTCCTTTTAGAGGCATATTTCGAAAAGTGGATTTTGTTAGGATGTCGTAGATGAATTTTTGTAGTTAATCAAGTCGATTGTGTCAACATTTCACGTCTGGATGCGATCGTTAATCGTAGTCCAAACCGACAAATTCCCAGTTTTGGACGACTTCGCAAGGATTCCAGGAGTAAGTCTATGGTAGAAAATGAAGTTCTACGACCGATTAAGTACGGAGGGACGAATTCGATGCAACAATGTAGGCTGGATATTAGGTTGATCCCATGAAACCCCAGTAGGATAGTGTAGGCATTATCCTAAAGTTTGTCAAGAATAGGATTTTGGAGACGAAATCTTTATAAGTAGGGGAGAGTTTTAGCACCCCATTTTCGCCTTATAGTATAAACGACCAGTCACGTAAATATATGTATGTGACAGAAGACTATATAGGATACATAATCTTGACGAAAATCGTAGAAATCATAAAACCGAGAGTGTGTGTATAAAGAACGTCCAAATCTGACTTCATAAGAGGAAGTTATGTTTTTTAAAAGTTTCAGTGTAGTAGTGTACGACACAGAAACCGAAATAGAAGCCGGTCGATTGGTAGGAAAAACAATCTAAACGAGCGTTGAATATCTCGTCTATATGATTATGTCGATATAAAGACAATCGAGAACGGATATTGTATGAGAGAGTTATGATTTTTATATAGGTTTTAATAGTCTAAGCCTGTTAAAAATATAACTTTAATAATAAATTCAAAATTAGCCGACAGAGTCTAAATGAAAGTTGTAGATCTCGTCGATAGCTACACGTGGATATAAAACCTGTCAAAACTAAGCTCGTACAGAGAAGATATGGAACTTTTAAGAAATCATAAATCTTCACGAGCAACCGCGCGCACATACCAGCTGTGCAGCGTGCACTAACACACCACCTAGATTTCTCCACGTGTCACTTTCTGCATGGAGCCGCGTTATCACCCCCGACCAATTGAGTGGCGTGCACCCGACCATATACGCTGCGCGCAACCCAAAATCAACTATAAATAGGCAACGATTTTCATTCATTTCCTTCACCCCTTTCCTCCAGAATCTCTCTGGCACTCCTTCGTATCTCTTGGCCTTTTATCTCTAAATTCATGACTACATTAGCATAGCTATGAGGCAGTGAGCCAAGAAAATAGAAGTGCTCGGTATCAAGGTTTTTCTAATGCAATCTTCCGGTTTCATTAAAAACTCTCTGTAAGTTAGGCTATACTTATTATGCTTTAAGTGTAACTTATATTTATATTCATAGTCGTTGTTATGAATATATAAATAAGATTTATCAGTAATTCCAGTTATAATTTTGATTGATCTACTTACGGGAGGGGTGTTTAGAATGGTCATGTTGGCTTGGTTTTTGGATTTTAGAAAGGCTATACGCTGAAATAATCGTGCCTCCTGATTGTCCGACCGGGCTGATCCTTATTTGATAGAACTCTCGCTATTCATTGGGATTAGTGAAATATCTAGTTTTCATTATCAAATCATCATAGAAATTAATAGGTTAAAGTATTATATGTTAATACTCATTCAACGCGTTACCCGTCAGTCGGATTGCCATTAGAATCATCCAGATAGTTGCCAATCTTCCATGTCATTGTCAAGGTGAGTTATCTCACTATACCATGCAGTACAATATATATCCATGTATCTTAGAATATGGAATGTGTAAAGTAGAGCTAGTATTATAATCTCTATGTGCTTAAGTGTAAACTGCTAGAGTAGGAAGTATGAATGTGTCTGTATTAGTAGAATCTAAAATACAGTCTCTATGTGCGAAATTGTTGTGATATTGGACTTTGTTAGGAGAAGATGGTGGAACGATTAAAGAGGTCGGGGGCCTATAGGAACGTGTGTTGACGAAATGGCAAGTAGGTTGTAAGTACACATAAACCCGTGTTGACGAAATAGCATGTAGGCTGTAAGTACACGTAGACCTGTGTTGAAGACGAAATGGCTGGGTCGTTAGTCTAATATACACATATTATTGGTAGATCGTGAGCTATTGTTTGTATGCATGTATATGTATTGTGGTATATGGTATTTTAGGGAACTCACAAAGCCTAACGCTTACCCAGTTGTTATAAATGTTTTTCAGGTACTTCGTGAGAACAACAAGGTTCGATTGTATACACGCATATTCACAATCATGTTTCTGCATTATACTCTAATGTAATTGAATATTTTAATAAATAAAAATGAAAATTTTGGGTTGAAAATTGAGACGTAACACGACTAGATCTTGAGAAGGCGGCGGTGGCGATACCTTTAGTGGTTAGAACTCGACGCAACAACGGCGGGGATGAACTGATGTACAGTGAAGTCGGCGCTAAAAGACGCCAGTGAAGGCAGCAGAGGCTACGATGGTTGTTTATATGAGAGAAGTTTTCTTAGGAGGAGAAAGAGGAGAATGAGGTTGGAGAAGGGGGGAAATTAACAGAGAAGCCCTCCATCGACTATTAGAGAAGATTAAACCTCATATAAATAGGAATGCATAAGGCGTCTAACCTAAACCCTAAGGGTTTAGGCCAAAACACCAATCACTAACAACCTTGATAAAAATAATAAAATTTTCATTAGATAAACTCTAACCCATTAAATAAATTTTGTGGGATTGTTTGACATGAGCATAGGCGTGGGTGAGTGTGTGTGATTCTGGTTGTAGAGTGGTGGGTGAATGTCGGCGTTAGCGTAGGCGTGTACGTGTACGTGTATGTATAGGTGTGGGAGTGGGAGGGGATGTAAGTATGTGTGTGGGTATTAGGGTGGATGGGTGGGTAGGGTGAGCCAGGGTGTGTGTAGGGGTGGGGTGGGCATGTAGGGTATGTATGAATGTGGGGTACGGCAAGGGTACGCGTAAGCATGTAGTTATGAGGTTAGGTGGGGGTTGATAGGTGTGTGGGTGGGCATGGTTGTGGGTGTAAGGGCGGAGTAGGGAACAATGTCGAGGTGGGCTTATAGGTGTCAATGTAAGCTTATATATGTGTGTGTGTGTGTGTTCTTATGGGTTTTAGTGGGGGTAGCTAGGGTTGGGAAGTGGGAATGGGTGTTGGGTGTGGTGGGGATCGACGGTTTAGGGTGGGTTTGGATGTTAGGGTACTAGGGTGGTGTATGGTGAGAGAAGGAGTGAGAATTTGGACATTTGGATTGGACCGGACCGAACCGGGAACCGGACTTAGACCAGCCTCAAAATGTCCGGTCTAATGTCCACAAATTTCTGAAAAACCAATCTGGCCTAAGAGTCGGTTCGGTTCGGTCCATATACTTATCCTAAGTCGTAATGGATAAACTGACTTTTGGTAGGAATTTAACGAGTTATACCATATGCACCTAAACTTATACCAGTCCAACGGGTATAAGAATCGGAAAACTCGAACCTGGACCGATTTCAACAGGTCCGCTCCAAGGTTCACCAATTTCTCCCAAATCGGTTTTGTCCAAATGCTCACCCCTAGGTGAGAATAGGTGTAGGTGTGAGCTTTTGGGTGTGGGAATAGGTGAATGGATGTGTATAAGAAAGATAATGATAATATGTTTTGATTTAATGAATAATGACTAATAAAAAAAATTGGTTGATAGAAAGACAAGCTTAATAAAATAACAAAGATAATGAATGACTTGTGAGGATAGTAACTAAGTTTACAATTGTATTTATTTTCAGTCACGTTTTTTTAACATTCGACGGATAAATGCCGTTCCTTTTCTTTGTACATATTTAGTAATATATATTTTTGTACACATTTTGCAACAAACTCGCAAGTTTATTGGTTGTAGGAGAATGGTAGGAAACCCGAAAAAATCTTTAATTTCAGGTTACGATGCTTTTTTTTTTAACATTATATATAAGTTTATTGCTTAAATATGTAAATAAATAAATAAATAAATTAAAAAAAAAAAAGGATAACAAAATGTATACAATTACAAAACATAATTACCGTCGTCCAATACAAAATACGTCTCAAAATTTACAGGGTGCATTGACCCCTCACGTCCAGCATGTGACTAATGGATAAATCTAGCTGGATTTCATAATCGCAACTATTACAAAAATACATGTATAAATTATAAGTTATAACATTCTTTTGACAACATATTCATCAATCAAAACAAAATATAAAAAATAAAAATCCTAAATTTTATTATTCTTATTCCACATTATTTCATTTAACCAATTCATAATTTTTTCTTATTACACAATTTTTCTACAGTTTTATCAAACAGAATCTTGGGCACCTTTCCAAGATGACAATGAAGGAGTCTCAGAATTATACCACGTTAGATGCATCATAAAATTCCTTTCACCCTTCACCATGTCACCAGAAGCAAACGATTCCAATTCCGCCATCTCCTCTGGTGTTAGTTTTACAGACAAAGCTCCAATATTTTGATTGAAGTTTTCAATCTTTGTGGTGCCCGGAATCGGAATCACATCATTTCCTTGGTGGTGCAACCAGGCCAAATGCTAGTTGTGCAGAGGTGCATCCTTTTCTTGCTGCCATTTCATTTACTCGCTCATATACAGTCTTGTTATGGTCAACATTTTGAAATCTTGGCATGTTCTACAATAAGTTCGGATTTTTAGAACTAAATGTTATATTTATAATATGATATGTTCATCATAATTCATAAATACCTTCCTGAAGTCATTTGGTATCAAGTTCTCAACCAATGAAGGACCAGCAGCCAAGAATCCCCAACCCATAGGACTATAAGCAACAATTCCAATGCCAAGTTCTCTGATACAAAAAATGAATTATCATCAAACAACATATGTTATCATTGTGGGTTTGCATTATTATGTAACATAGAAGATAATGAAAGGGGCAAAACCTGCAAGTAGGAACAATTTCATCTTCCAAATCTCTTGTCCATAATGACCACTCATTTTGGACTGCTGTAATTGGATGAACAGCATGAGCCCTTCTAATTGTTGAAGCTGATGCTTCTGATAAGCCTATGTACTTCACTTTGCCTTCCTCTACCAGTTTCTTCAGCTCTCCCATCTGTTTAGTACAGTTTTTCACATACACAAAGTGTTAACAAAAGCTCAATCTTTCCATGGCCGACATACAAGATTCATATTGCAAAATAAACCAAACTAAGCAGTAAGCTGAATCTTCCGCTTTGATAGACTAAAAAGATATGCGTTTCTGAAATTACCCAAATCAAAGTAATTTAGATGTTTAGTAACAATTAGAAGAAAGAGGGACGAACCGTGATTTCAATTGGGATACGAGTGTCGATCCTATGAGCGTAGTAGAGATCAATACAGTCAATGTCAAGTCTTTTCAAGCTATCTTCACAAGCTGATCGGACATACGCCGGATCACCACACACCTCAATGTTTCCGTCGACCATTCGGAATCCAAATTTTGTAGCAATTTGAACTTTCTCTCTCAACCCTCGTTCCTTCAAAGCCTGCAAAAACAATGAAAATTTCCTTAAATCAAAATCGGTAGCTAACAAATCGATTAACCAGAACTTCATTACTTACCTTTCCGATGAGAATCTCGTTGGTGAAGGGGCCGTAAACGTTTGAGGTGTCGAGGAAGGTGACGCCGGAGTCAATGGCGTGGTGGAGGAGCTTGATCATATCAGATTCCTCTTTCGGGGGTCCGTGACTTCCGGTCATACCCATACATCCCAATCCCTGTGCTGAAACAACTAGACCTTGTGAACCTAATTTCAATTTTGGCACCTCCGACGCCATGGTTGTTTCTTGATCGAAATTTGGTTAAACCTAATGAGTTTGTTTGCAATATGATTTTGAATGTACCATACAATCGATAGGTTTCACTCTGATAGTGAAGCAGGGACGAAGTCATTTAAAATTTGTGGGAGTGAACTAAATTTGGACAACGCAAGTTGACTAATGAGAACATCAACAGTCTTTGTTGGTGGCTTGCATCCATCGAAAAGTTGAAAGCGACAGCAAGTGGATAAGACTATCCATATTGATAAAAAAAAAATAGAAAAAACTGTAAAATTGATTATTTAAAAATTTGTACATAAAGTCTAAAGCTCTAAAATTAATACTTTTTGTTGATTTTGATTTTAAAGTCAAGAAATTTTTATAGTTTTGGTTACGAAGCATTTGAATCCACTGTTTTGTCATTAATTTTTTATTTATTTATTTATGTTTTTTTATAGAAAAAATTTCATAAATAGTCCTTATGGTATTCTGAAATCTAAAATTTAGTCCCTCAGTTTAAAAAACACACAAATAGCCATTGTAGTTTCAAAACTTTTAACAAAATGTCTTTATTGCTGCCAGAGTCAATTTTTGCCGTTAAGTAAATAGCATTTTCATAATTTCACTACCATAATGATCATTTATGAATTTTTGCCTTATTAAAAAAAAGAAAAAATATAATATAATTATTTAACTCTCTCTCTCTCTCTCTCTCTCTCTCTCTCTCTCTCTCTCTCTCTCTCTCTCTCTCTCTCTCTCTCTCCACACCAAGAACATGAATAGCAAATCGTTCTTCATGTAGCCAACCCAAAATCAAGATTCCATTAACTGAAATTAACAAAGCTACGACTGCATTCAATTACAAGAGCAATTGCACATTTTAATTTATATGAATTGGATCAATCAATTCCCCTAATTTATATTTCATTCTTCATATTCATCTTACTAATCCTACACTATTTATCAGAAATCAAACACCTATTTAAAGGAATATTAAGACAAGATGTTAATCATCAAGTCTTCGACATCCCTCTTTGAACTCCTTGAAATTGACATATCCATCACCTTCGGAATCTACCGACTTGATCATTGTCACACAATCATCAACCGTACATGTGACAACAGTCAATTTCTGGTCAAGTCAAAGTCAAATAAAGTCAACAAGTCAAACCGATCAACTCAATTAACCCTTGTATATTAGGGTTTACCTTATGTTTACTATTGTACAAGGCATCATCTTAATACAAAACATCGCTTAGAAGTTTCACGTGTTCAGAAAATCTACACCCAAATTAGGGTAAGAGATGGAACTACTCGACAAAAACATTAATACATACCCTTCGAGGGCGTATAACGCTCATAACAAGGCAAAACGGGGTTTACAAACCTTGCATTTCGAAGTCAAATACTCGCAAAGGCCACAAACAAAGTCCCTCTCGATCTCTCTCGCTCTATCTCTCTCTATCTCAAATCTCTCCCAAATCTCTCCAAGTATGTCAAATCTCTCCTAAATCTCTCCAACTATGTGAAATCTCTCCAAGTATCTCAAATCTCTCCCAAATCTCTCCAAGTATGTCAAATCTCTCCCAAATCTCTCCAAGTATGTCAAATCTCTCCCAAATCGCTCCAAATATGTGAAATCTCTCCAAATATCTCAAATCTCTCCCAAATCTCTCCAAGTATGTGAAATCTCTCCAAGTATGTCAAATCTCTCCCAAATCTCTCTCTCATAACCTCCCTTAACTTTTTAAAATCATTTGGGGCATCCCGACCCTTAACTTAGCCAAAAACTACGCAAAACGAGGAGTTTCCGCGAAAATCAGCCTTATAGGGCCGAACCTTCTTAGGGCCGAAACCCTAAGAAGCGAAACCCCTAAGAAGCCAAAGCAACCGAAGGGCCGAAATAGAAGCAACCGAAACCGAAGGCAGGAACCGAACCTGCTAGAGGAACCGAACCCGAAACCCGGAGGACCGAACTTCGCCTTCGCCTTCGCCTTCGCCCCTTCCCTTCTCGCCTGCGAGATTTCCCGAAACCGAACCTACCTTCGGTTCCCACCCCATGAAGACCGAACCCTCGGCTCCCAATTCCGAACTTCGTAGATTTTGCTTCTTTTCCCGGTTTTCGACCACTTTCGCGTTTTAAGCCCGTTTTTCATGATTTTGACGTGGGATTTTCACACAAACCCATATTTTGACATATAAAACACTATATATTCATAATTTAAACACATTTTAAGGGAAATCTTTGCCTAAGGATAAAATCTAGTGGGTATGGTTTAGAGGTGGAGTGTTGACTTTACCTTTGAGTCATGACACAAGCAACCCTCCACACCCTCTCCAGGGCCATACTCAGTCACTATTCCTCCATACTTAGTCAACTATTTGTCCTTTCACCATCCCTCTCCAGCAAGATTCAATACTCAAAGATGGGAAAAATCCTTATCTCTCCTCTCACTTTATTCACTCTTTCTCAAGAAGAACAAACACATCTCTCTCACTTTCTCTCTCTAAAATTCGAGATTCAAAGGCTGATCTTGGGTTTTTCCTCCACATTTGGTAAGTATCTTCCTCCTACACTTAAATATTCTACTATCCTTCCACCAAATTGTGGGTTGCTTACACAAATATCATCATATTTGTTCATAGAACCTTCAAATCTTCAAGCATCACCCAAGTGTTCTTGACTTGGCAACTCCTTTTCTCCATCATCCATCCTAAGAGATCACTCAAGCTGAGTTCATACCCCTATCTTTTCATGTTTTTCTTAAGTTTTAAGGGGGGGAATACAAGTTAAAACACCAAGAACACAACTAAACTCAAACATCAGCTTTCAACAGAAAAGTTAATGTTCATTCACAGACTGTTTTGAACATCTTAAACTTTTTAGTTTTCAAAACTGTATTAGATGAAAATAGTTCAGTTTTATACCTTTAAAATGACTACTTGCACCTATTCACACGATTTGTCTACAATTTTTGGTGATTTTTACAAAACTGCCTATCACTGTAGCTACGAATTCGGACCAGTCTGTGAATATGAACGCTTTCACACCAGTTATAAACTTCTAAAAATCATGAGAAAAATTATGAACGAACTAGACACAATTTATAAACTCTCAGAATTTACGGAATCAGTTTTTGACGCCGTATGATTTTTCTATAATTATTCCAAGAACAGGAACAGAAAAGATAAAACTAGCAAATTGTTGATAACTCATTTACACCTTGTAACTTGCTGAGCAAGGTGTGTATTATCATATATAAATACATGTTGTTTATATTGCATTTCTTTTACCTCATTATAAAGGTTTACATCATATACAAAGAGGATTTCTACCATTACAAAATGTTTTTGATAAGCTATAATAGGTATAGTTTATGTTTCCATTAACACAACAAACACATTTCGGAAGGTTTTATTCCCACAGAAAAAGGTTTTACACTCACGCGCACTACACGTAAACTTGTTAACGTAAATTGTGAGACATTCTTCTTAGTACTACTAGAGTGCGGGTTAAAATTCCTGGTAGTTATAACCAGAGTCTCTTGTAGGGAGAACGTGATAGTTGTGTATAGATCTATATTGGGGTTTGACAAACCACACCTGAGCTGCATGCAACAGCTAGACCGGCAGGTCTGGGGTGACAAGTGTCATTATCTATTTCGACGCTTGAAAAACGTCGTGGCAGGTTCCGCTAGTCGTAGTATGGTTATAGCGACTCACATAGGGAGTTAACAACACATAAAGTTTACGGGGATTTTTCATAAATCAAAAAGGGTTTTATGTCGATTTAAAATCACTTTTATATCAATAAGTATGGATATTACTTGTACACTCTCGGTCTTGGAATTTAAGACTACGCATCACTTTTGTAAGGAAAATATTGGATTTTTCTTGGTAACACACAACTCATAACAAAGATCGGTTTCCAAACTCTTCATCGAAAAAGCTTATGAACTCACCAACTTAATTGTTGACACTCTTTCAATATTACTTGTATTCTCAGGAAATCAACAAAATCAGGTAACCACAAGCTTTTGAGGATGCGAAGCTACGACGTTGAACAACTATTTTTATATCACGTTGTAATCAATCATTGAAATATGTAACACTTGAAACCATGTAATTTATTTTCGATTATATTTATGATTGGTTGTATTGCTTTGATCACTATTATACTCGTTGTTATGATACTATACATGAAGTCCGCCACCCCCGGACGTTTCCGCCCTCCTTGGTTTGGGGGTGTGACAGATTGGTATCAGAGCATTGTTTATAGTGAACTTAGTATATCGAACCACATAAGATATACAACTATAAATACATTGGGACTAAAAGTCTCTGATTTAACAATTTCAAAACAATTATACTTTTAGAAATGAAGTAGTTTCTTGTTAAAAGTATGAGTACATACATACATACTAGTATAGTATCATATCTAGGACAATACAAAGGTAAAACGAGGAGTTGGACACTACGAGTAGACCTTGGGACATGTAATCAGACTTGGGATGAATATAGCCTGATCAACTATATTTATCTGAGGTGTGACTAATGTATGTCGGGGTATGGTCGTAGTGAGCAACAAGCCTAAAAACTTCCCATACAAGAAAGTTACTAAGAACCAAACATAACATTTAAAATACTATAGGAGTATTTTGTAATATTATAACTTATGTGAAAACTAAACAGATCCTTATTAATAGGTCTATAGTCATTAAGTGGATACTCTAAAGTTATATACAACTTAGAGATCATAAACTTAGAATTTGTGGTCATTGCCTTACTTCCTTTTCCTTGTTTGGATGTGGACCTAGGGTAGGATCACTTATTCGAAGGTCTATCATATCTTTGTTATATGTAATTAGTATGCACTATGTCATTATAGAAGTAACTAATGAGGATCAAACCCCTATAAGTATTTCTAGGAATACGACTAATATATGCTTCCTATCCCTCCTATTCTCGCACGTATAGCATGGCAAGATTCTACTTACCAGGCGACCCCTACTTTCCCAACCAGGGAAATGGTGGATGGTTAGGAGAAGAACCCGAAGAAGACCCCAATGAAGAACCCGAGGAAGACAAGGAAGAGGAATCTGAATAGGAAGAAATCGAAGTAATGATGGGTGAAGATGAAGACGAGGCAGAATCAGAAG